GTGGATGTAGAGACTCAGTAATAACATGAGAGGCCCTTGATGCTGGGAATTTACTGAGATGTGTCCCATGGAGAAAATATATTTTAATAATCCAACTGAAGTTTTACTTCATCATTTGTTGTGGAATATCCTTTCAAAATGAACTGATTTCTGTTCTATGCTTTTTGACTTTTTTATTTTTTGCACATTCTTCCTTTTCTTTGCAGAATTCCTTTGGTGGGTTCCTTCCACCATGTCACCAGCCTTAGTAGGCAGAAAAGGAGACTTCATGGTGCTGCGGCCACAGGAAATTAAATCAAGTGGCAACTCATAAAATGGGGGGAAATAAATCAATATGGTCCGTATCAAGAGATGAAACAGGACAGTGAGCAATTAGGGAGGTACATTGCCTTTAGAGATGAAACATACTCCTAACAACATGAAGCTAAGAATTCAGAAGACCTCTGCTTTTACTTTAAGGACTGTTATTAGGGTGAACTCTGCCTTCATCAGAGGAGGAGCACTATGGATTTGCACAGGTGCAACACAAAGTGTCTGCACAGCAAAGTGTGTTTGCTGTTCTCCAGCTTGAGTTGTGTGAGGAAGAGCTAGTGCCATTCTTTGTCAACTTTCTGTCTAAAAATCTTCAAAACAAGTCCATCTCTCTCTGCCATATGGCATTTTGAGATCCTACTGGTAACAAAACAAAAAACTAACAATAACAACAAAAAAAGCAATCAAAAACAACTCCCAAAAAGGAAAAAAGCACAATCCTGGTTTTCATTTTTTTGCTTGTTTTGGATTAGTTTGTTTTGTTTTGCTTTTTCTTGAAGCATTCGTCCTACAATAGTTCTGTGCCAGAAAATAATAAACAAGTGGTCACTGTTGAAGTCACCCCTGAAACAGAGTGACTGGGTCGTGATGGATTGACATGTTCCTCTCTTGAGGTATAACCACCACTACTGAGACTGGGACAACCAGACAGTTACAGTTTTGCCTTAGGACAGATACGTACTTGTTGAGATGGTAGTAGCAATAGCAATGGGACTGTAATGAAACCAATTACATGGTTGCATTGCATGATGTGTGGCCAGGTTTGGCCTGCGGTTATGTGTCATAGAATCATAGAATGGCCTGGGTTGAAAAAGACAACAATGATCATGTAGTTTCTACCTCCCTGCCACGGACAGGGTCACCAACCACCAGACCAGGCTTCCCAGCGCCACATCCAGCCTGGCCTTGAATACCTCCAGGAAAGGGGCATGAAGAATGGGCAGAGTCTAGGACGTCTTCTCATTCTGATTGGGGTGGGAGATTGGCTTATGTTTGGTTATATCAGTTCACTTCTGTGCCATTTTCTGTGGTTTTGGTTAAAACAAAGGGAACATAAATTAAATGAGGACCGCTGCATTGAAAATAAGGCAAAAAATCTTTTCTCCAATTGCAAGGATGTTACACTTTGTCAATCTGTTGACATCAGTGTAGATAATTCAGTACAAAATAGAGTCATTCAGCTAGTCTAGCTGGAATATTTCCTTACAAGTTGAATAACATGGTATTACAGGACTTGTGAGATGCTCTGAAGAAAGGAATTATACAGTTTCTGGAAATGTGGTTGGGACACCCTGGTACTCTATAGTTACGTTGATCAGGTACTCAGTGAGAGTTATTCCTTGAAGTGTCATCTTATTTTATTCCCAATTACCAGTTTCACTGCAATTATACCCAACTGAGTCCTATCTTTCAAAATGGCCTGACTAGTCTGCTCTGAATATCAGCTATTGACCACTTGCTATAGTTAACAAACTCTTGTATCTAATTCTGTGAGTTATTCCAAGTACCCCTTTAGCGCCAAAGCTGGCAACTTCTGAGAAGCCCTCTCCATTTCACAAACCTCCCTTTGCCATCTCTGGTGGGCAGACAATACACTTGCAGTTTGAAGTTACGGTTAAAATTACATAGAAAAAAATGACAGGAGTAGTTGTCATATTTTTAACAAAGTTTGTTCACTGCGGATATGAAACCTGAGAACTTGCATAAGAGTCCCACTCCACTGAGTGTTGGTTTAGTCCACAAAGCAGCTGCACAAAGGGGACATTTCACTGCTGTTCTGGATCTCCTTGCTAGGGGAATTGTGGCTGCAGGTTCCCGAGGGTCCCCTGGTGTTTTGCGTAATCTATCTTTAGAGAACTGCAAGTTCATTTCTGAGAAGAGCACTGGCTTTGAGCAGGGACTACCTCTAAACTGACAAACCACTTCCTGCAGACGTTAACTGAATTGAGAGCTTGCTGTCCCCCTTCATTCCCCTGGAGAGACCCCACTACCCCTCCTTGGCTTGGCATCATGAAATATTGTGAAGACAAGAGTATGGAGAGTTGAAGTACAGTAACTCTCTACCAGCATTTTCTACAAAGATCTCCAGAAGAAGAAGATAAAGCCATGTTTCCAGAGTGTTATCTAATCCTGGAAAAGAAAGTAATTCATATATCTGTGCATTTGATGCTTCTTTTGTATTTTTACCAGAACACTCCTCCTCTGAAATGAATGTAATTCTTGGCCAGATCTGGGGAAGTAAAAAGCACCTGCACCACTTAGACTGTTATTTCCATATAACAATATCCCAGATTTAGTCTGTATCAGCATCCATTATAGGATATAGCAAAACCATGCAATCATTCAACAGTATATGCTTATGACCATTGAGAAAAAGAATCTCAAATCTATTCTAAACTCTTCCAGTCTCATTTTCTACTTGGTGGTAGGTCTTTCCTTTTTTTCCTTTGCATTTTCCTTTTACTCTTCCTTTTACTCTTCCTTTTACTCTTCCTTTTACTCTTCCTTTTTCTTTCTCTTTTTCTTTTTCTTTTTCTTTTTCTTTTTCTTTTTCTTTTTCTTTTTCTTTTTCTTTTTCTTTTTCTTTTTCTTTTTCTTTTTCTTTTTCTT